GTAGTTGTTGCAGTAGTAGTTGTTGCAGTAGTAGTTGTTGCAGTAGTCTTAGTTGAAGTAGTACTAGTTGCAGCAGTAGTAGTCGAAGTAGTTACAGCCCCTGCCATTGGAGTGGTTGTAGTAGTTACAGCCCCTGCCATTGGAGTAGTTGTCGAAACGGCTAAAATAATAAAGATTATGTAATGTATACATAAAATGTTTATCTTACTGCTAACTGGAGCTACAGAACCACTAGCTGCAACTGGAGCCGAAACACCACCAACGGAAATTGTGACTGAGATTGTGACTGGGGTAGACTGTATGTTTGCAGTGAATTTAGGATCACCACATGATGGACATAAGCTTAGAAGAAAATGGAAGGCAAGAATGAGACGATGTAAGCCACGACGTTCACGCGTAATACTACTTTAATAAATTAAATTAAATTCTACATTTGATATTTTATTATTTTGTTGAATACTTACAAACCACGTCGTCTACGTCTTTTGCTGTCTGTAACTGTTGCACTATCAACAACAACCGCACCGTCTGCTAAACCCATACTTTGTGCAACCTATAAAAGTAGATGAATTTTTAGTGAGATTTTCGATTTTTATATATTCAGATATATATTTACTGAGGTACCAAGCGGACCTAACGATGCAGCATCTACGGGGCCGGCAGGTAAGTTTGCAGGAGCTGTAAAACTCAATGCATAACTTGAAACTAAACAGAAAAAATACGGTTGAGAAAAATAAAAGATTTGATAATAGATAATATCTTTACCTGAAGATCCACTGCTTGCAGTTGCAGCAGTTGAAGTTGATGGATTATTAGTACCTAAAACAATAAGTTCTATATCCTTTATACATTTTATGCTCTACTCACTTGTCAAAACCAATGTAGAAGTAAATGTAGTTGTATACTGTGCACCATTGATGAAAATAACAACTGTAACTGGAAAAGATGGGATGCTTTGAAGATATCCCATGTTTCCACATTTGTCACATTTTTGTTTATTAAAATGGAATACAATATATAGTTGTGTAGTACCAGCACGACGATCACGGAAAATTTCGCTTTAAAAAATTAAATTAAATTATACATTCGGCATATTATTATTCGATTGAATACTTACAATCCTTCTCGTTTACGTTTACCACCTGTTGCAACTGTACCACTTTCACTTACAAATGAACCAGATTGTAGATTTAAAGCATTGTTCATCTACAATAGTATATGGATTTATAATAAAATCTTCAATTTTCTTATATTCAAATATATATTTACTGCACTATTAATATTTGATAGTGATTGAGAATTCAATGTACCTTCAGGTAATGCTGTCCCAGGTTTCATAATCATAGTATAACGTGGAGTGCTTGAGCCTTAATACACAAAAATATGATGAAACAGTTTTAGAATAAATGATATGTTTACTTGAACTGCCACCACTTCTTTTTGATAGATACACAGGTATCAATGCAAGAACAATCGTTCCAGCAATCAGAAAAATAATAAATCCAAGGCAACATATAGCCAAAATTGGACCACTGGCAAAGAAGCCAGTTCTATTTAATAAAACAAAGAATTGATATAGACAATACGAAAGAATCAAATTTTATTTACTTACTCACGATTACCGACAGCTGGTAGAGGCACATACATATTTGTAACTGTCGAATATTAATACTAAAATCAAATGAAATTAGATGCGCAATGATAGACGAAAATCGGAGCTTTATATAGGGTATGGTCGCATTATTTTTTATTGTTTGGCGTAGGCACAAATATTTATCTTATTGTTTTTAACTAGGAAGCCTAGAATAAATTAGTCTTATTCATCGAATTTTTTTTCTCTAGCTTCTTTACCATATGATATTTTTTTTATCATCGATTCGCATCATTGCTCCTATATTTTATTTTATTAAATACGTCTAGAAACACAATACATCAAAATATTAAGAGAATATGACATATTAATGCGAACTATTCCGACGAACAATAAAAAAAGTGAATATTGATATATCACATGTCAACGTCTATCGATTGGTCATGTTTATGTATACAGTAGTCAATAATTAGAAATAATGTTTAACAAGATAAACAACTTTTCAAATTAATTTATGTAACTTTTATATATTGCTTGTATAATAGAAATTATTTCTGAAATATATATAAATCTTTTCAAATTTTACTATTGATTAAGAATATCATACTTATTGTTACTGTTACTTGTATTTATTGAGAGCTAGACAATATACCTTTGCCAAGGAGAGATGTTTTAATTATATCAAATCAGAAAAGAATTCTTTTTTCTTATAAACACACTATCTTCATTAGAACACATCACTAAAAAAATAGACAAACAATACCGAAGAGAACTAATTCACTCATGTCACCATTCATAAGCAGAAATTTGAGGAAATTTATAGAGAAATGAATATTCAAGTATATATAGAGTGATCCAAAAGTTTTGGTGCTTCATAGAAGAATATCATTTTCTCTCTTATGGCAAATAATGAAAAGCTTAAAATTGAACAGATAATCAATCAATATTAGATGAATGTCATTTTAAATTTTAACAACTTTAGCTCAGGTTATACTGAAGATTCTTTTCGCAGGGCGTAATAAAGTAAATGATAGAAGGGGGAAAAGCTGATTTAAATCAGTCAAAAATCAAATTTTAATTAATTTTAATCAAATTAATCACTCTTAAATCACGATAATTATATGAAAACATCAGCTTTTATGATTTAAACTAATTTTGTGGAACTCACATAAATTTTCGAGGAAAATCGTGAGTGTAAGTTTTAAATTCAAGTTTTCCAGCTCCCCTCCCCTCCCCCACCCCCTCCCAAATTCAATAAAAATACGCAAAAATCATTAAAAATAGCTATAAATTGCGGGATTTTCTTTAAAAAATAAGCAAAAATAGTTAAAAATAGTCATAATTTACTGCAAATTTAATAAAAATTGTCAAAAATAGCTATAAATTAATTAAATTTGAGCAAAAAAAAAAGACAAAGCACTGAAATATGATCAGATATTTTGATGTGAACATACGTGAGTTCCACATTTTTAGCCCCAACGGGGCTGCGCTGATAAGCTTTTTTTTATATGATTTAACGTGGTTTAAGAATGATTAAAGTGTTTAAAAATGATCAAAGGTGATTAAAGTGATTAATTTGATTAAAATTTGATTTTTGATTGATTTAAATCATCCGAAAATCAAAATTAAATCATTTAAAATCACAAAAATCAGCTTAACTCAGTTTAAATCACAAAAATCAGCTTAACTCAATTTAAATCACCTTTAATCATTTTTAATCACTAAATCACATTTTGCTTTTTCCCTCTTGGTAGGTAATGTTTATACTATTACCAATCATACCATATTGTCTATTTAAATATTTCGAAAAAAACCTTAATAATCATTATCGTATGATTATCAAAAACAAAAGATTGTTAATTCTTATAAATAAAAATCGAATAAATATAACTACTAGTAAATAAGAACTTGCAAATTTTTGTAATAATATCATTATCACTAATGAGACATTTATTCTAATTCATAAAATGTCGCTTTGCTCTTTTATTTCGATTTGCGCCTATCGATCGTGGGAAAAAATGGAAATACTGTTTCTGAAATATCTAGTAGTACAACAGATATTTAATGGAAGAAAATGTATATTATTACTGCTTCATTTTTATTTTACTTTATAGTGATACGGATGACAATACTATACCTATATATTAAACATATAACATGAAATACACTGATAACGATTTTTTAATTAATAGAAATTCAGTAATGTATTTCAGAGCTGTGCAGAAGATCTTTATAAACTCTATGATGAACAACTCCAGTTTTTCTATGACTTTATCGTAATTACTAATCGAATAATGAATTTTTGTAGAATACAGAACTAACAATATAAAGTTTTTGGATGTGAATTGCTACAATGTTTTTAGCTTAAAACGATTTATTGATTGAAGATGACGACATCTATGTTGAAATAGAATATAATTTCTAGAAGAACAACAAAGAGGTATTTCTATCTTAACAACTTATTTTATGTCTACCTGAATTGCACGGTATAAATTGTTGATTTTAATAACTTCGAATTTTTTCTTTACTCATATAAACGTATAAAATTTTTACTGATACATGGCTACGGCAACATTAACGCAATCTGAACCTAAGTCACTCATTCGCCCAACACATTGGTCAAAAGAAGTTGAAAATGCTTATCGTTTTCAATTAGCCGGTTATCGAGATGAAATGGAATATAAACGAGTTCGACAAGTGGTCGCGGTATATAACTCTTTTTTTAATTTCTTTCCTTTAAAATTTTATTGTTTTATAATATAGATTGATACATGGCCAGATAGTGGTTTTGTTAAAAAATTACAACGACGAAAAGATGGATTTTTTTATTATTTTGATAAACTTCGTGAATGTCCGGATAAAGAAGTACATAAATGTAAAATATATTCATATTAAAAATAAATAACCATGTATACGTGTATCTGATAAAAATAAATTTTTCATTTTGTATATTTGGATGAGAAGTCTTTGCATTCGATCGTCGAAATTAACTTTAAAGAATTAGTCATACTCAATTATGAATCATCATAATACTATAAATAGAGAGAAAATTGAGTGCAATTTCAGATGACTGATGATAGATCTTTTTATTGAATAGAATCGTGAAATGTCATCTTATTTTTCAAAAATATCGTTCGAACTAAATGTATGATAAATCAATATGCAAGAACTTTATGTTCATACACGTTATTTTTTGTTCAATTCACAACAGATTGAAATATAGCATGAAGTCTACAGCAATATCGTTTAGAAATGAATGAAAAAATCTTATTCTGACATATGTCATACATCTGCAAAATATACATTAAAAAAGACTATTTAAATATGAAAATCTGTTTTATGTCGAATTACTAATATTAATTATTGAGTTATGTTGATTATAAATAGAATTATAATATAAATTTCAAGACCATACTGCTTGTTGATTTCATCAAACCAAACTATTGTAATTCGAGAATTTCTTATCGTGTTCAGAAATAAACCCATTTAATAAACTAAGTTTCATATATCTTGTTCAACACTTCAGTTCTTTTATTGATCCAAATGAGTACTGGAATAAGGCTTCTGACGTATTGATTAATAAATTTTTAGGTTTCGAATCTACATATTACTACTGCAGAATTTGAAAATCGATCTTACCGCATATATTATTAAAATAAAAAGATGTATTGATTATTGAGAACTCTACTTTCGGATTAAAAATAAACAATACCAAGACAAAAAAAAGTATTTCGCCAACTGACATACATTATTTACTATTCATATGTGTATGCATATTTATTTGTACGAGTCACGGTTAACTAGAAATGTAAATTAGCCAGCATTTTTTTTCTCTTCATATGAGAGTTACATCTAAAATTGAAATATTCTATCATTCAAACAATTCATAACGTCGCATAGATTTTGATTTTTACTTTATTAGTATAAAGGTAAACAAAAAAAAAGAAAAATTTCAATACCATTTTACACCTTTTTTCACTCTATTTCGCTATCTACCCTTCGTATTGTTATTATAACCAAGCTTTTCTTTTCTTTTTTTTTCTCTTTTTTTTCTGTTCATTGTTTAAAACTGTTCGTCAACAATTATAAAAATTTGATTAGCTGCTGGATTTAAAAGCTTCTAACTGTAACTTTTAAAACAAAATGGAAATAATTGAATATAATTTCAATTAATAACTACAATCTTTTTGTATACCAATGAAGTCAGCATCTGCGCATAAAGATTTTACTGATCATAGTTCGGTAGGAACTATATCATCATATAGTATGTGGTCGACATCAAGTAAACCAAGTATGGCAACAACTTATATGGATGGAGCTACGATTCAAGAACGTCATGATCGTTTATATCGAATGAGAGACTCATTTCCTAAAGGAAAAGGTCGACCCAAATCATTTAATGTAGCCGAAAAGAAATTGGTAATTATATTTCTTAAATAATTTTTAAATTTATCTCTATCTAATATATATACATAGAATGTATGTAATACATATATCGCTTTATTACCAACAGAATCACCGGAAAAATCTCGATCGGTTGCATCATCCGCTAAAACGAGAACAACAGAAACTGATTTATCGTATAAAAATGCTGATATTCGAAATAAACGTTTATTAAGTGCAGCTATAGTTGATGATAAAAATGAACCAAAATATTATACTTCCTATACAACACCACATACAAATAATGCTTGGATACGACGACATAAATCTATGAATGAATCTTATTTATTAAGTAATTTATTACGTGATCATACATATAGAGAAAAACTTTTACTTAAAAAATGTTCATATCAACAATTACTTGGATATCCATCATCATCCGCAACTTCTTCATTAATTAAATTTAAACAAAATAATTGTTAATATAGATTTTTTTTTCTGTTTTTTTTTAAATTTTATTAAATGAAATAATGCGCGTGTGAAAAAAACAACGAATTTATTTTTTATTTATTTATTTTAATCACGTCAGCAACAACAACAGAAACAGTTGAGTCTACTGGGACTCAGTCTCAAACACAGATTAATGATGATACTTATGTTGCAGACGAAGAAGGAGGAGGAGGAGAAGAAGAAGAAGAATTGGATATGACTGGACGTATTGTAGCTGATAATTATCGAATACAAACGAAATTAGGTGCAGGATCGTTTGGACAAGTTTATCTATGTGAACATATTCATTCTCATGAACAATGGGCAATGAAAATTGAATTACATAATATGAATAATAATCCTCAATTATTAATTGAAGTAGATGATTATATTTAGTTTTTTAAATTTTTTTGATAAATTTTGTGTATAGCATAAAATCTATACAATACTTGAAAATTCGAAAGGCTTTCCTAAAGTTGATTATTATGGTAGTGAAGGAACATTTGATATTCTTGTTATTGAATTATTAGGTCCTTCATTAGAAGATTTATTTAATTATTGTAATAGAAAATTTACATTAAAAACAGCTTTAATGCTTGTTGATCAAATGATTTCGAGAATTGAATATGTTCATACATGTCATCTTATTCATCGAGATATTAAACCGGGTTACGATCGTTTTTGGGCTGTAATGAAAATAAGATTCAATTTCTATTTTAGATAATTTTTTAATGGGTATTAAATCGACGGGTAATATTGTTTATATAATTGATTTTGGTCTTTCAAAACGGTATAGAGATCCAGAATCACTTGTACATATACCTTGGAAAAGCAATAAAAGTCTTACAGGTATTTCATTTCTCTAAAAAAAAGGAATTTGAAGATTTCTGTTATACACCAAAGACGCTAGTAAAATTAATTCAAAAAGTAGTATACATGGATGTTTAGAAAAATGTAAGCGTTGACAGTAGATCAGAGTGATAAATTCTTCTTATGTAGGAATCCGTTGAATGTCTCATCTATACTGTCAATTTAGTATGTGTGATTTACACATCTACCAAATAGAGACCTGCATGGAGTCAAGTAAATTTCATGTCAATAATTCAACTTTAACGTTAAAAATTATTTAAGTTCATAGTTTTGTTGTACGACATTTTCTCTACCAAATTATGTATTTTGAAGGATAAGTCGATGCTTTGTTGAACCTCACCAACACAAAAGAAAATCGGAGTCACTTTCGACTCCGACTTTTTCTGTATTTTATTTTGATTTGTTAGACGCGATAAGAAGTCTGCCGATCCTTCAAAATACCTAGTTTTATAGAGAAAATGTCGTACAACAAAACTACAAGCTGAAATAATTTTTAACGTTAAAGTTGAATTATTAACATGCAACTTACTTGACTCCGAAAATGATTCCGTGCAGGTCCCTACTACCAAAATACTTATTCGAAATAAAGATTGATACTATCGTTGTAAACATTTCACAGCTCTTATATGCAGAGCGAATGATTATTCTAGAGAGTTTTCTTTTCTCCGTAATCTCGATATCATTTGAAAAATTCTTGTCATTAATCAATGTTAGGTACTGCTCGATATGCATCAATTAATGCACATAAAGGTACAGAACAATCACGACGTGATGATTTAGAAGCTATAAGTTATGTATTCATGTATTTTATAATGGGTACATTACCATGGCAAGGTTTACAAGCAACAGCAAAAAAAGCTAAATTTGAACGTATTGCAGAGATGAAAATGAAAATAACACCTGAACAACTATGTAGAAATTATCCAAAAGAATGTGTTTTATTTCTTAAATATTGTCGTACACTTGCATATGATAATCGACCAGATTATGATTATCTAAGACATTTATTTCGTTATTTACTCTATCAAAAAGGTGAACAATATGATTATGAATATGATTGGATTATTTCACATAGACAGAAACAATTATCTCCGATGAATAAAATGAATTATAATGAAGGTGAAACTTCTGTTGTATCCAATCAATAATGACAGTCAATCAAATGTTCTTTTATCATAATTCACTAATGTCTGTGTCGTACTTTTGATTGAATACAATATTCTCATTTGAACATTCTAGTGTTTAATTAAATATTTAAATTATATTTTCTAAAAAAAGAACTATGAACTTGATTTTATCATGAATAACTAGTCGATCTGTTGATAAAGACCAGAAATGTGTGGTGATTTTTATAATTATATAAACATACTTTTGTCCATAAATAACTTCGAATAATTCAAAAATCATTTCTACCTCCGTTCTTTTGGCATGTCTGTATAAAAGCAATTATGTAGAATGTTCTTGTTTTTTCCAAGAAGAAAATTAATTGATTTTCAAGGGTTCTTTTAACCCAGCCAGAAATTTAATATAAATATAGATGATTGTGTGTTACATACAGAGATTTAATCGTCGATTTTCCGACAATAATGTTATTTTTGGTGCTGGTCGCCTTTGTTACCATGCTGGGCATGAGTATTGCTCGTCAAAAAGTAAGTATCTCTATTTGATATTTTGAACATTATAAATTTTTATATTATTTAGCGTTCGAAAGATGCAAATGAAACTTCATCAACAACAACAGTTCCTTGGGGTCCACGTCCATGGCCAATAGTAGGTAATCTTCTTCAATTGGGTTATCGTCCATATGAAACAATTTATCGCTGGTCGAAAATGTCGAAATATGGGCCAATATTTCGTCTTCGTCTTGGTTCACAAACAGTTGTTGTTCTCAATTCAGCTGAAGTTATTCGTGAAGCTTTACATGATCATAGTGAAGCATTTGCTGGTCGTCCATATCTTTATATTATCAATGAAACACTTCATGGCAAAGGTGTTATATCAGCTCCATATGGTCGAGAATTTAATGATCATAAAAAATTTTTAATAAAAAATTTCAATCGATTTGGTCGTCGAAGAAGATCATCATTAGAAAGTGGTTGTTTAGATGAAATACGTTTAGTAGCTGAAAAATTACGAGAAAAACAAACATCACCATTTCATATTGGTAATATGTTAAGTCAAATATCAGGTAATAATATTTGTACACTTACATTTGGTCGATATTTTGAAACAATGGATATAACAAGTTTATTTGATAAACTTAATGAAAATTTTAATGATACAGCAACAATAGCATGTTTTAATTTTCTCCCATTTACGCGTCGATTTAAAACAAATATATTTGATAATGTTAATGATTCAAATCGTGTCATACAAAAATTAGTTAAAGAACGTGAAACAAATTTTGAATCCGATGATGTTAACAATATTGTTGATGCTTATTTAGATCAAATGGGAAAACAACGAAATTTTTCCAAAGCAAATCTTGATTCATTAGTACAAGATTTATTTGTTGCTGGTACGGAAACAGTATCAAATACACTTAATTGGACAATATTTTATATTGTATCACATCCACATGTTCAAAAACAAATTCATGAAGAAATTGATCGTTTTATTGGAAAAGATCGAGCACCATGTGAAAAAGATCGTACACAAATGAATTATATTGAAGCTGTTTTACTTGAATCAATGCGTTGTCATTGTGCAGGACCAATATTATTACCACGAGCAACAACACATGATATTACATTTAAAAATCATTTTATTCCAAAGGATACATTTATACTTGTTAATATGTGGTCAGCTATGAAAGATGAAGAACAATGGCCTGAACCAGAAAAATTTCAACCGGAAAGATTCTTAGATGAAAATCATAATCTACAAAATGTAAATCATCCAGCAATGATGCCATTTAGTCTTGGTAAACGGGCTTGTACAGGTAAATAGTTACTTTATAAAAAAAAATTTTTAAATTATTTTATTTTACTAGGTGAACAAATTGCAAAAGTACAATTATTTTTAATATTAGTCAGTTTATTTCAAAAATTTGAATTTTCCTTTGCTGATGGATGGGTACCAAAAGATCTTTGCGGTCAACCTGGCTTTACACTTCGACCACCTAATTGTCAATATCAAGCTTCTGTTCGTTAAATGAATATTTACCTTTTTTTCCCCTCTCTCCCATATCATATCATTTTATTATAATCTCGAATTACTTGTTATTTTATTAAACAAGCGAATAATTAATTTATCTTATTTTAAATTAAAATATTAATCTCGCATATATATATATATTATAAATAATATCTTCAATGTTTTTGTTTTTTATTTTATTTTTATATGGCGGAAGGAGAGAGAGAGAGAGAGAAAGAAAGAGAAAAAAAAAGACAAATATGCCAAATTAAACTATAGAAAAGACAATGAAGAAGCAACAGGTAGTACAAACGAAAATAAGGATATACTGTCTGGACAGATTACAAATCTAATACATAGTCTTATTGTATCTTCTTCAAAATCCGGAAAGAAAAAGCCATGTCGCTACTTAAAATTTAAAAAGAAAAAATGACATAGTCATAGTGATTGTATAATATGAATTTAAGCTTTGAATGAACCAACAAAACTTTGAACAATTTCTTTAAGTTTAGCATCTGTTTCAGGGGTAATTTCGCTCTTTGAACGGACTGATTCAAGGATATCTTTATGTTGTCCTTTAAGATGTTGTAAGAAAGCTTGTTCAAATTTGGTAATTTTTGATGGATCAAGTTTATCTAAATGACCACGAACACCAGCATAGATAACACATACTTGTTCTTCAATAGCCATAGGTACTAAAATAAAACTTAAAAATATAGAAAAAAAACATTTTTAAATTTCTAACTAACCATATTGACCTTGTTTAAGTAATTCTGTAAGACGAACACCACGATTAAGTAATGATTGTGTAGCTGCATCAAGATCCGAACCAAATTGGGCAAAAGCAGCAACTTCACGATATTGAGCTAATTCAAGTTTCATTTTACCTGAAACCTATTATAAATTGATTTTAGATAAAAACAAATTTGTTTTTTTTAATAATTACTTGTTTCATAGCTTTTGTTTGAGCAGCACTACCGACACGTGATACTGACAAACCTACGTTAATAGCTGGTCGAATACCTTTATAAAACAATTCAGTTTCTAAAAAGATTTGACCATCTGTAATTGAAATGACATTAGTTGGGATATAAGCTGATACATCACCTAAAGAAATAATAATTCAGTTTTTTTTTTTAATTTGAAATAAAATTTCTTATTTACCAGCTTGTGTTTCAATAATTGGTAAAGCTGTCAATGAACCACCACCATGACTATCATTCATTTTAGCAGCACGTTCAAGTAAACGACTGTGAAGATAAAAGACATCACCTGGATAAGCTTCTCGACCTGGTGGACGACGTAATAAAAGTGACATTTGACGATAAGCAACAGCCTAAAAAAATAAGACTATTTTTTTAGTTTGTTTGAATTTAAATCTTCTTACTTGTTTGGAAAGATCGTCATAAATAATTAATGCATGTCGACCTGTATCTCGAAAATGTTCTCCCATAGCACAACCTGAATATGGTGCTAAATATTGTAATGGTGCTGCATCTGAAGCAGTAGCAGCAACAATAACTGAATATTTCATAGCATCTAAATAATAAAATGATTATAGATAAATTTTCAAGAAAAAGAAAATTATACCAGAATCAGTTAAACGTTTGACAAGTTGGGCAACAGTTGAACGTTTTTGTCCAATAGCAACATAAATACAATAGAGTTTTTTCTTTTCTTCTCCAGCATCATTGAAACGTTTTTGATTAATAATTGTATCAATAGCAACAGCGGTTTTACCAGTTTGACGATCACCAATAATCAATTCACGTTGACCACGACCAATTGGTACTAAACTATCGACGGCTTTCATACCTGTTTGCATAGGTTCACGTACGGATATACGTGGGATAATACCTGGTGCTTTAATACCAACACGAGCTCGTTTTTTAGTATTTAATGGACCCTTGAAAAATCGTTAATGTTGTTATATAATTCAAAAATAAATAATAAAAAAACTCACTTTGCCATCAATAGGATTACCAAGAGCATCAACGACACGGCCAAGTAATTCATCACCAATTGGTACATCGACGATAGCACCTGTTCGTTTGACTATATCACCTTCTTTAATCAATCGATCGTTACCAAAGACGACAACACCGACGTTATCAGGTTCCAAGTTAAGAGCCATACCCTAAAATTGAACATATTATTCAAACTTTTCCTAGATTGAACACATCAGTCAAGTTAATTTATAAAATTTTTCAATCGATTTTCTCTTCTACATATAGTTTAGTTATTAATATTAAAACAAACCTTTAAACCACTAGAAAATTCCACCATCTCTTCGGCTTGAATATTTTTTAAACCATAAACACGGGCAATACCATCACCAATAGTTAAAACTCGGCCAGTTTCTTCGAGATCTTGTTTTGATTGATGGCCAAGAATTTTTTGTTCAAGGATAGATGAAACTTCTGGTGTTGATTGAGCAGAAGCATGATGTGTTGTTGATGTCGACATTGGTCGAGATGTTGATAATGCCAAAACATTGCTACTTCCAAGATACTTCAAACAGAAAATATTAGCAATAAATATCGATTTCAAATTTATTAACAATAATTTACTTTTGCTGATTCAACAGTACGAGCAAGTGCACGTTGTCGAACTAAAGATACTAGAGCTCGTTTCATGTTTTTATTTCCAGATGATGTTGGTAGAAATTATTTGCAAAAAAAAAGAAAACAATATGTTATGTACCGAAGAATTACGCACAACAGAGGCTTCAAGGAATGATCAATGAAAGACAAAATAAAATGATTTT